CCTCCTACAGCCAAGTGCCACCCTGACAACAGTGATGTCACATGAGCACCTACTTCTCCGACTTCTGTTGTGATAAGGAATGATGTGGTTAAGGTTAAAATATATGCAGGAGAGAAGATTTTTAGGGCAGTGAAACTAGTCTCTAAGACACTATAATGGTGGATACATGTCATTACACACTTCTCCAAATCCACAGAATGTACAGCATCAAGAGTGGACCCTACCCGGCTGGCGTGGCTCAGTGGTTGAGCAGTGACCTATGAACCAGGAGGTCAGGGATCGATTCCGGTCAAGGGCACATGCCCGGGTTGTGGGCTCAATCCCGAATGGGGGGCATGCAGGAGGCAGCTGATCAATGATTCCCTCTCATCAATGATTCTCTCTCACTTTTCTGAAATCAGTAAAAAAAAAAAAAAAAAAGAGTGGACCCTAATGTAAGCTATGGTCCTTGCTTGGGTCACTGTGATGAATCAAAGTAGGTTCATCAGTGGTAACAGCTGGACCACTCTGTGGGGGAAGTTGACAGTGGGAAGAGCTGTGCATGGAGGGGGCAGAGCGACATGGAACTCTCTGTACCTTCTGCACAATTTTGCTGTAAATCTAAAAATGCTCTAAAAATAAAACCTGACAGTAAAAAATAGGCAATGCTTACATTTTAACACCCTTCAGAAATCTGAAATCATTTTGATAACAGAGGAACATAAGACATGTAACTTGGTTTTCTTAAGAATTTCTCACATCTGCTTATGATTATAATTTATTGTGACAGAGATTTTGCATTCACTAATTGAAGGTGCGAATGAGGGAGCCTTAGGGAAGTGCTGTGGTTTAGGTTTTGTCAGTTGGAGAGTGAAGCAGGAAGGAGTTAGGGAAAGAAGAAATCATTGGCCTGGTATTTCCGTTTCTGATCTCGGATATTCCCATGACCTTGAGCGGAGGTAGGAATGCTTTGTCTTCAGAGGAAGGGTGAGAAGAAACAAGAGAACGCTGCCCTCTATTCACTAAGTGGAACTGTGTCCCTCTTAGGAGAAGAATAGATCTACAGCCTCTAGGACAGCATTTCCTGAAAGGTATTCAGAAAAAAATTGCTTATTAAGATGCTGCCAGAGTGGTGGAGGTTGGAGTTGGCAGACGGGAAGTTTCTGTGGCCAAACTCTGGGTAGTGAGGCCCTTCTTAGACTCAGGCCCACCAGCCCAGGCAAGCCTGCTTAGTCTGCTCAAGCCCAGTTCCCTAGACTCCTCCAGCCTGGATCCCACGTAAGGCCAATGAACATCTGCACTTATTCACAGGTCAACAGGCAACGAAAAGAAAACCTACGGAGAAACAGTGAATCCTTCTTTTAAGAAAATGACCCATTTCAGGGTCCTGTGACTTGCTTGCTACATGTCAGCATTGCGGGGAAATCTGGGGGAACTAGGGGTTGGGGGTACGTGATGGTGGATATGAGGGCTACCTGGCTGTGACCTTAACCATTGTATTCATCTATTTTATCGATAAGTGCTCTCATAAACTTTCTTTGATATATAGAATAAAAATCTTATTTTTCTGGTAGGCCTTCATTGCTTTAAGTCACTGAGCTTGTTAAAAGCTCAGATTCGTAGCCTCCAGTCCAGGACTCCAACCTCTGGAGGGCCAAGACCATCTGTCTGGAAAGGGCACTGCTGCAGTGTCTGAAGTGGCTGGTGCTCTGGGCTTGCATGCGCGCAGCCAGCATCCGTCCCCGGGGACATCAGCACCCACGCGCTTCCTTCTCCAGGGGCTGCCGGCTGCCCCTGTTCTGAGGGTGAGCTCCTGCCTGCTTTTTCCTGTATGAAGATGGTCTTTGCAATCAGTTTTCTTTTGTATAAAACATGAGCGGTGAGGAAGGTGGGAATGATATGGGTTCTACCCCTTCCTGGCTGGCTTCCAGGAGGAGGGTGACCGCAGCCCATCCACCTGAGGTTCTGATGGAGTGTGGCCAGAAGACAGAAGGCATTTGGGCTGGCAGCTGCCTGGTGGGTGGTATCTGTCAGTCATTAAAGGGCCACAGCCAGGCACCCCTCTCAGACCTGCCCTGTAACACGCAGTGGATCAGAGTAAGTAGCCAGAGTAACTCTCCAAGTCTGCAAGCTGGCCTTTCAGTTTCAACATCTTTCACATACTTAGAAACCAATTTTGTCAAGCAGAAGGGGTAATCAGCCTCTGAAGCATAGGGGGAAAAGTCTGATGCCATCAGACATTTGAATAATTAAAAAAAAAAGTTCTCAGCCCCGCCCAGATTCTAGGCTGGCCATGGCTCCGCCTACGACAGCACTTCCCAAAAATGCAATACAATGCAAGCTGCAAATGAGAGCTGTGTAGGCACTTTTACATTTTCTGGTAGTCACATTTAGAAAAGTAAAAAAACAAAAAACAGATGAACTTAATTTTTGCAATGTATTTTATTTAATTCAATATATCTAAAATGTCAAATATTTCAATATGTGATCAATATAAAACTATTAATGAGGTATTTTACATTTAAAAATCTTTGAAATCTGGCATTTCATTTACGCTTATGACACATCTGATTGGGACTAGCCATGTTTCAGGTGCTAACCTGTCATTAGCAGCTACTGCAGTGTACGGGGCAGGTTTAAGAATTTGGAGTCTCATGTAATTTTCTTACACAGGCAGAGAATTTTCACCACTGCATGACCCTTTGAAATGTATAACTAGTTGTTATTGTGAAGAATGAATTGGCCTTGGCCTTTGGGAGTTTTGTACATCAGGCTTTTGTGCATTTGGTTAGTGGGAGTCAGGGCCTTTGACCAGTCAGCTCTGATACACTTGCAGGACCTGGTTCTTCACTGTGTAAGGCTGAGCGCCAGATTTCTGACGGTGGTGAATTCCCGAGGGAATTCCTCTCTGTGGAAACATGGTTGTGACCAGCTGACCACCCCCGGGTGACCACCCTGCCTTCCCCACAAGCTGTGTGCTTTGAGTTCTCACAGTTATCCGGGCCTCTCAGTTCAGCTAACACATTTTGGGTAGCATTATGGTTTCCCATCCAGCCAACTGTGAATGATTACAAGTAAGAATTTCTTTATCATAAACGCTAAGAGTGTTGATTTAATGATTAAAAAAGTTAGATGTTTTCTAACTTGGTGCCCAGCCTGGGCAGAGCATTTGGGTTTGCCTGTTTACTGTGCCAGGTAGCGTAAGTTGTCCCATGTCCTCCTGTGCTCCACCTAAAACCCTCCTAGAACTTTAAAGTGACTGTTGAAGAGAAAGAGAGGAAAGGAAAGAAGTGAGAATTTCCTCCCCACCCCCCGCCAGGTAAGCTGGTCAGCAAGGCCGATCATGGTTTCCCACCAGCGTTCGGGTGAGAATCTTGGAGCTGAGTGGTTTCTCACTTCTTCATCCATCAGAAGGCGCCCCTCTAGCATGGAGGGCAAAGAGCTCATGGATCAGCCCCGCTTGCCTAGACTGGAATAAAGAGAAACCTCCCTGCCTCCCTCGCCTTTTCCCAGGCACGCTCTGCAATTCTGACACCAAACCTCAGGGAAAGCTCTTGGCAGAAAAATGAGTGAATGAATTGGAAGTCGAATGGGTAAACAGACGGCACCAAATTGCATGGATCCAATAGGCTAAGGTTGCAACAAATCTACTCAAGATAATTACTAATGTATACCTGCCTGCCACAGTAATGGAGCTGCACCGTGTGACAGGCAGAGTCCTTATTTACACTTGAGATTGTTCTACAAAGTTTTGTATTTCATTTCATTACAAGCTGGAGCCTAATTTGGAAACATTATGAAGCATTGTCAGCTTTCAACATCCCTTCCCATCTCACCTTTCTCCTTATTTCCCTCCATCCATATTGGGGGCAGAAGGGAAATGAACAGATTTTTAAAAACCCACTAACCTAGATTTTGCAGTTTATTAGGTAGTTTCTATGTGACCACATTGGGAAGAAACTCCTGTCTGGTTCCCCTGTGCACACGTGACCATCGGCCTGGAAGGCAGCAGCACACCACAGCCCGACGTCCAGGGCTGGGCTGAGATTTCATTGTTGGCTACAAAAGTGGGCTCTCACTTTCCCTCTGTGTGGGGTCACAATTCTTTTACTAAACTGACAAGTCCCCTTCCGCCGCTCCTAAAAGGCAGCAGGCCCTCCCCACTTACATGTTTACAGGTGAATGGTTATAACAATGCCTACCTATTAGGCTCTGTGCTCCGCATTTGACATCATTGCTTATGGTGCAAAAAGTAACCTTGTTTACATAAACGCTTGTAGAAATAGGAGGCTCTTTCACCGATCGCAGAAACCTCAGCTTGTGCAACCTTGGCTCTTTCAGATCTTTGGATCTTAGAACCACCTCAAGGTTGTAAAAGATTAAAATTCTTTCCATCCCCCTCATGGGGTGATAAGACTTCCTGCTAATATCTATGGGTACTTACCACAATGTTCTCAACACTCTATGTAAATGAATTTACTTAATTATTCCAAAGCTCTATGAAATCATCCCTGTTTTACAGATGAAGAAACTGAGACACAGCGAGGTTTAAGTCACGTTAAGGCCACAGAGTGAGGACATGGAAGAGTTGGGAGTTGATGCCCGTCTAGAACCGTACTTTTAGGACCCGAGGACAGAAACCGCAGTGCAGCCTCCTGGAAACTCAGAGGCAATCCACCTTTATGCCTCACGGGAAAGCGATGTTACCTATGGCAGTAGAAGACACTCAGGTGTGAAGACTTCTGTCTCGTTTGGTCATTCAGAGTGTAGTCTCCTGGGCAGCTCACCTACCCGACCAGCCAGTCATAGCTCATTCTAACCTCACCACAGCGTCAGGCTTCTGGGCCTTGTATCTTACCCGCCCTGCAACATGAGCAGACTCCGGTTTCTGGGGTGACACCCTCTTAGGCATTTGGAAATGCTGCAGGAGAACTGGTCTCCAGCTCTCAGGATCCCCGGTCCCACTTTCTCCTCAAGGCGGCCCAGCTGGCAACGCCCTTCCCACCCAAGTTCTCACGCACCTTCAGGCCGAGGTGCAGCTCCCTCAGCGAGCGCCGGACCTCCCTGGTGAGTGTGTTCATCCGCTCACACTCCTGCAAGGCAACCACGATGTAGGGGGTGCGCTCCTCCACCCTGGCCATCAGCTCTGGGATGTTAAACTCGTCCGTCACCCGCTCCAGTATTTCTTCCAGAAGGGCCTTGACCTGCCCACACAGGAAACACAGGGTTAGAAAGGGGGTCTAATTCTCCGGAAGGACTCGCTGTCCAGTATTAAGGCACTAAAGGTGACAATTATCCATCCCTGGCCCTCCTCTGGCCTGCTTGCTTAGGTCAACGAGGTCAGGGGTTGAGGACCAACCACGGATGGCGTTGCCATAAGCTGTGACTTAAGCAACCAGCTGAAAAGATGAACACAGATGCTTTTCCAAGAGCTGAGAGCTGGAGAAACCCAGATCTGAAACAGCTGTGAGAATCAAACCGGAAAGGCATTTGGGCCACACGAAGCTGGTATGTGTATTCCATTCTGAGTTTCCAGGAGGCTGCACTGTGGTATCTGTCCTCGGGGCCTGGAAGAAGCACCCCCATCTATCATGCAAACCTCCTCCCCACCCCAAGGTGCCTTTTGTCACACAACCTGTCAGCTAATTAGACCAGGGGAGCGAGAACAGCAGGGCCTCTCTCCTGGAAATTGGAGTTGAGGTACCGAGATACTGACTTATTTGGGGGTAAGCGTTTGGAGGCTGAGCCTGCCATTTTGAAGTAATGAGGAAGCCCAGGAGGTCTGTCAGCAGAGAAAGAAAAGTGAAACCAGTGCAGACATAAGACCTGTGGCCAGCAGAGAAGGAGGGAGTGAGCAGCCTTCAGGGCCCTCAGAGGCAAGTAGTGGCAGTCTAAGGTTTTCGTCTCTTCATCATCTCTCTCCCCATCTTCTTAACTGGTCCCTATCTTGTTCATGAAATTACCTCTTCCTTCTTGTTTTGGGGTACAGTCCTGGGGCCCAGCCCTTCCATGGCCCAAGTAGGCCAATCAGATATTTTTTTTCCAGGAACATGAAAATTTGAAACTCAAGACTAGGATCCAGGGGCAAAAAGTGGCTGGAGTCACTGCCAGGGTGGAAGTGCCCGAGAGGACAATCCACTTGACTTCTTTCTCAGGATTACTTTAAATATATATATATACATATATATATTTAAATCAATATATATATTGATTTCAGAGAGGAAGGAAGAAGGAGAGAGAGATAGAAACATTAATGATGAGAGAGAATCATTGACCAGCTGCCTCCTGCATACCCTCTACTGGGGATCAAGCCCACAACCTGGGCATGTGTCCTGACTGGGAATCGAACCCTGACCTCCTGGTTCATAGGCTGATGCTCAACCACTGAGCTACAGCAGTTGGGCCCAGGATTCCTTTGATACGGTGAGCTATTTCTTGCCTATTTCAGCTAAATTGGTCTCTGTTGCTTGCCACCAAAGGACCCCAACTGAGTGAATACGGTCCTGTTATGCATTACCTATGTGAATTTTAGCAAGTCATTTAGGTCTCAATTTTCTGAATCTATAAAAATTTCTAAGAGCGTTTTTATCCACCTGTCCCCTCTCCCCTAACTCCCGGGGCTGATGCAGAGATCAAATAAAATGAGTTGATGAATGTGGCAGCATCTGAAAGCTATAAAAAAATCCATATAAATGTAAAGGATTATTAATATTCGCGTTGCCTTGTATTGTTAACATAGAATACATTCTCTAGGAAAAGAGCTGATGTTAGAAAAAGGGAAGTACAGCTCATCACCCTGTCACAAATGGGTCTCTGGTGCTGTCACAGCAGCAACTGGAATGGAATTTTAATGGTACCTGAAAGCTGCTGCTGGGCTAGAAGACAAATGGCTGAAATTATATCATATTTCTGTCTCTGGAGCAGAATTTGAAGAAACAGTCCTATAACAGTGAGCTGCCATTCAGACGTTATTCACAAAGAGATGAAAAGATAGTCTGGAGGCATTGTTCCAAAATACATTGAATGCGGGAAACAGAGTTCTATTCTGTCACTGATCCCGCGGAGCGCGTGGAGACGGGCCGAGGCCGGGAGGACTGTTAGGGACATCCACAAGCCGGTCTTCTGCTCAGAGAAGCCCTGCAGATGGGAGGCGTGGGCTCCAAGGGATGTGGTCTACTTTACTTACACAAACACCTCTGCCGTTTTTTCTTTTGGGGAAGGTAATAAATGCTTACCATAAGGGTCTAAACATTACAGACCCATATGATATTAGAAGCAAAATCCTCCCACAATTTTGCCTATTTCCTCAAAGGGGGGGGGAACCCACTAACTGCTAATGTTTGGGTTTCTAATTCCTCTAGGCATCCTTCAACGCATATAACTCCCTCCCTCCCGTCCCCTCCCTTCCCCTCTCCTTCCTTCCTTTCTTTCTTCCTTTCTTTCTTTCTTTCTTTCTTTCTTTCTTTCTTTCTTTCTTTCTTTCTTCTTTCTTTCTTTTATCACCAATGGAATCACACTATACACAGCTTTTCCCACCTTGTAATAAATTTGGACATGTTCCATATGGATTTGCCTTGTTTTTTTTTTTTTTTTTTTTTTTTTTTTAAACAGTATAGCTTATTTCACTGGTGCGGCAGACCATAGTTTATTATGTTACTCCCTATTGCATGTTTGGTCTGTTTATTATTTCTACTACTATAAGCAATAAATAAGTAATAAATAAATAGAAATATATCATAAAATCTGTGCACTTTTGAGTGTTCCCACTGATGGTTGAATTCCTACACATAAAATTATGAGTAAAAATATGAAGATTTTAAATTTTAGTAGCTATGGTCAGATTGTTCTATAATTTAAACCTCCACCAGCAGAAACAAGAGTGCCTGTTGTCCTAGGCCAGTGATGGCGAACCTTTTGAGCTCGGCGTGTCAGCATTTTGAAAAACCCTAACTTAACTCTGGTGCCATGTCACATATAGAAATTTTTTGATATTTGCAACCATAGTAAAACAAAGACTTATATTTTTGATATTTATTTTATATATTTAAATGCCATTTAACAAAGAAAAATCAACCAAAAAAATGAGTTCACATGTCACCTCTGACACGCGTGTCATAGGTTTGCCATCACTGTCCTAGGCCCTCTTCACTGCATAGTATCACATTAAATTTTTTTTTGCCATTAGGTGAAAAATGATATTTCACTTAAGTTCATTTAGTTATAGTGACATTGAGAATATTTTTATTGGCCACTTGTATTATTATGGCCAATGATTATGAATTTATTTTGTGTCCTCCTTCCCCCTCCTCTCTTCTCTTTCCTTCTTTTCTCATATGTAAGAACTCTGTATAATAGCAAAAGTTGCCCACTTCCTGGTATCTGTGGTGCTAATAGGTTTTCCTAGTTTGGCAGTGATCATAGTTCATCCATTTCTGAAAGACACACACACACACACACACACACACACACACACACACACACTTCCTTGAATTAGTTGGAAGAAGGGGATAAGGAAATTATAAGAAACTGGAAGCTTCTTTGAATTTTACTTGGAGAATATTCTATTACTTATATCGCCCCAGCTTTTTTCATTTTTAGAGCTGGGAATGTTTTCCATTCTACATGGTTTAGATTCTGGGTAATGTAAATCTCTTCTCTTCCTTTTATTCTCCAATTACATTGTGCCATCAAATGGTGGATTGATTTAGGGCAGCTGCAAGTCTGCTCACCTGCATCAAGTTGCCAGGGTGCAAATCCCTGTGCTGTGTACGGCCAACTGGCCATCCCCGTGTGCAGTCCTCAGCTCCCAGAGTGACCTCGGCACCCCCTCCACATACCTTCTCTTCCCTCGTGGCCGCCGCTCCGTCCCCGACGTGGCTGTCCCGCGGCTGCAGCTCCAGCACCGTGCGAAAGAGCTTCTCTGAGGTCTGGGTCAGGAAGCCGATCTCCGCATTGGGGTGGAGGCCGTAGAGATAGGGTGACTCGGGGGGCAGCTCGGCATCAATGTACTGCAAGTCAAGGGCAGGTCGCTCACAAACAACCAAGACATCTCCCATCCCCGCTCCGCGCTCCAGGCTCCACGGCGCAGTCAGTGGTCCCTTCGGCCCTGCCGGTGACACTGGTCACCACACTGGCTGTCAGCTGCCCCCCACGGAGCAGTGCACACCCTGGCCTGCCTCCCCCCACACCGCTCTGCTGGGCCAGTTTTCAGACCTCCCCATTCACGAGGTCATTCTCTTGTTCGAGAAGTTTAGAGGCTGCCAGGACCGGTTTGGCTCAGTGGATAGAGTGTCGGCCTGCAGACTGAAGGGTCCCGGGTTCGATTCCGGTCAAGGGCATGTACCTTGGTTGCGGGCACATCCCCAGTGGGGGGTGTGCAGGAGGCAGCTGGTCGATGTTTCTCTCTCATCGATGTTTCTGACTCTCTATCTCTCTCCCTTCCTCTCTGTAAAAAATCAATAAAAATATATTTAAAAAAAAAAAGAGAGAAGTTTAGAGGGTTTTATGCAGCTCCAATCCCACCCCCTCCCACTGCTCCCTGACACGCCTGTCCTTCCACACACAGGGAGGGCTCCTCGGAGTCATGTAGAAATACTAAACCCTACCCGGTATTTTTCTCAAGCTCTTCTAGGACCTCAGACCTCTTGCCCTTGAATTACTTTTTCCCTCCCCCCTGTTTAGCTAAATCAGAGAAGACAAACCTACACACAACACAGGACAACACAGGCAAAATCCCTGTGTGGGTTGGGATGCACGACTAGGTGAGCTTTGCTGCGAACTTGAGAGTTCCTGCCTCTGGCAAAAAGTATTAGAATTTAGCCCAGCCAGTGTGGCTCAGTGGTTGAGCATCGACCTATGAACCAGGAGGTCACGGTTCGATTCCTGGTCAGGGCACATGCCCGGGTTGTCGGCTCGATCCCCAGTGTGAGGCATGCAGGAGGCAGCTGATCAATGATTTTTTTCTCTCATCATTGATGTTTCTATCTCTCTATCCCTCTCCCTTCCTCTCTGAAATCAATAAAAATATATTAAAAAAAGGAAAGTATTTGCATTTAAAAATTTAAAAGTGTGACACCCAAATAGCACATCTCAGTGCTCAGTTAGGGTGGGTTATGGTCAGTTAGGGTGGGTTATGGTCGGTTAGGGTGGCCAGTCTGCCATCCCTAAAAAATCTCCCTCAGCTTTTCTCCCCTCCAAAATATTTTTATTGATTTCACAGAGGAAGGGAGAAGGAAAGAGAGAGAAAGAAACATCAATGATGAAAGAGAATCACTGATTGGCTAACTCCTGCATGCCCCCTACTGGGGATCGAGCCCGCAACCTGGGCATGTGCCCTGACTGGGAATCGAACCGTGTCCTCCTGGTTCATAGATCAATGCTTAACCACTGAGCAACACTGGCCAGCTCCCTCAGTTTTTAAGGCTCAAGTTTTCCGAATAATCTCTGAGTACAATTCTTCCTATTACAGTGAGAAACTACCTCTCAAGTTTAGCTCCTAATTTGACTTTAATGATTTCTTGGTGTTAGTAAGGTCTAGTCTAAGTAAAATATTCCTTAGAGGCAAATGTGTGTGCTTATTTTTATATTTCTTCCAGCAGCCAGCACATGCCTGGACTTCTTGGTAGGTTCTCTATAACCATCTATTAATTGGCAGGTTACAGGGAGGGAAGAAGAAAAGGAAAAATCTGCCTCATCTATTGGAGGAGGTGTGCAAACCATGTTACTGCTGCCCATCACCTACTTCAGCCTCTTGTCAAATTGTTCCATAGACACTAGGGGACGCTCTTGTACAATTTTCTTGGCTAAAGCCTTGAAGACTTGATCAAGAGTTAAAAAAATCCTCTTATTTTTAGAATCTTATTGTTTTTAATTTCTTCTCAGAGGTCCATTTTTTCCCCCTGGATCAAATGACTTTTATGACTAACCTTCTTAAATTTTATGAATTAAAAAAAAATAAAAGCTTGTTGTTAATGTTTTTATGACCAGTATTCCCCTTAAGTTTGGTATTCAAAGTTCTTTTAAGCACCTTCAATAGATAAGCAATAAAAATAGTTTTTTAAAAATATGATCTTTTCATATATTTTCCATGGCAGGCTAAATAGAGGCAAAGATGAGCACCTTAAAAATAGCTGTAGTAATAGTAAAACAAAAACCCAAACTAATAGTATAAAAAAGCTTCGTTTGAATGTTTTTCCTGGTATATATATATATATCTGTGTTCCTAGCAACCAACAAAGAGTAGGAGCGGTGAGTGATCTCCTCCAAGATCATGTCCCTTTGAAGAGATTTGGAATCACTACTATAAACCTTAGCAAAAGTTAGCCTAGTTCTTACCTGAAATTTTGCTCCTAATGGCTTTGCCAATATCCTGAATGAAAACAATCAAATGAATGCCCCAGATGTTATTTGTAGAAAAGAGCAACAAATAGAATCATTGAACCAAATATCAAGAATAGAAAGATCTCCAAGGGCTCAACTGGATCATGAATTTGAGGCTAGAAATCTTATAGCTCTCAACTTGAACAGGGCCAGCGTGGGGCTGACCACCACACTTGGCATAAGCTGGGCTCTTGAAGCCATTCTTTCCTGGCGCTGTGAGCGTCCCTCAGCCACGCAGGGCAGCACCGAAGGAAGACCCAGGTCCCGCCGTGTGGGTGACATTACGGTGTCGTGGGGAGAGAGCCAGCCTCACCTCATGGTAACCATTGTAGTCCATGTTGCCTGGCAGTGGGAACCCTGGGGCCAGAGTCAGCTCTCCTTCAAGCATTTCCGGTTTAATGAATTCCTCCAGATACGTCCTGCAGAGTCTCCTGTCCCAGTCATCGGTGATATGGCCTCCATACATGATCTCTCCGAAGAGGTAACGCAAGTCATCATAGGGGACCTGAGAGACAAGGGGAAGAGAGAACGGTCTTTGCACAGGCATGGGGCCGGCCTCGGGTGGGCAGAGCAGGAGCCACAAGGCGGGATGTGCCTTGAGATTAGGAGCAGTGTTTTATTCACCTGCATACCCCGGTGCCCAGGAGTCAGGTACGTGTGGGAGCTCATTAAATGCTTGAAATATTACACCGACGGGTGAGCAGAGGTAAGGTGCCAACCCCCTCACATATATACCATCCCTCTTTCACAGTCATTCAATAGGCAATGTCAAATGGAAGAAAATAAGGACCAGGATACTTTTCTAATTTCCTGCCATTAATTAGCATATTAATTAACTCTCTCCTTTGAAAGGCCAAAGTGAATGAACTGTAGCAGGCAAGTTCACTGCTGTTGAAGTTAAGGAAGAAGCCTGTCCCCACCCGCTTCTGGGGAAAGCCTTGTCCAAGTGCAACAACTGAAGATGGAGTTGTGGGGGGCGGGCCTCCAGGGTTCCGGAGCTGAAGGCCGAGGGATGGCTCAGGGCATCTGGGCCTGGTTCCTTCCCACCAGGAAGGAGAAGGCCTTGTCGATGCTCGATTTGGTCCCTGAACCAGAAGAGCCTCGCTGGTGTGAACATTCCCTTAAATGGAAGAGCATGGATTGTTGGTGTACGTTTTCTTTGAAATAGGAATGTCAGACAGAGAATGGAGGAGACAAGGTGTAAGAAGAATTTGGCTTCTTCTTCAGCTTTGGTGAGAGGGAGAATTCTGCATCTTTGGGAATTTGTATCAGGTGAGTGTGGGGCCTCTTCTTGCTCCCCTACAGTTACAGTTCCCTGCAAAGCTGTGAGCACACGGGTGGTCCAGGCCCTGGAACAGACACTCCCGGGACTGACTCGCACCAGGCATGAGCCCCGGTTTGGTTTCTCAGCCTCGCGCTGGTCCTGGGGGTGGCCCATGGTTAAGCTCGCACTCCCTCACTCCTCGCGGGGTGCACCTCCTGCCCTCCCCGCAGCTGGCCGGAATCTGTACCTTTGCGTTGGCCTCCAGGAAGTTGTAGAGCACATGCACAGAGATGGTGAGGTCCCCAGTGTTGAAGGGGTAGGAGCGATTCCATCCCTGCGGCCCGAACTTTCGCCTCTCCGCCACCACCGCGTGGAAGTAACAGAGAGCAAAGAGGATGCTCTTGAACTCTGCCTCCCGGGAGCATGTCTCCAGGGTGTCCTGAAAGAAAAGGGTTGCTTCCCTATCAGCTCCTGCTCTGCAGGGCCGGGTGTGGGCCCTCGTGCCGGCCTTGCTCTGGATAAAGCTCCCACATGTCCCGGTTAGGGTCTGACTACAGACTGCGTTGTGGTTGGAGGGGACCCTGCTGAGGGCTTTCCTTTAAGCAGCGGTTCTCAACCTGTGGGTTTAGACCCCTTTGGGGGTCGAACGACCCTTTCACAGGGGTCGCCTAAGACCATCGGAAAACACATATATAAATACATATTGTTTTTGTGATTAATCACTATGCTTTAATTATGTTCAATTTGTAACAATGAAATTGGGGGTCACCACAACATGAGGAACTGTATTAAAGGGTCGCGGCATTAGGAAGGTTGAAAACCACTGATGTAGAGTCTGAGTTAAGGTTTACATTCATGTTACCAGTGGGTTAGTTTATGGTGCAAGTTTGCGCATATGGACGTGCTAATTAAGTTAACAAGCATCGCTCATGGCAAACAGGGTAGTGGCCATGGGAGCGTCCCGTCTGTCCTAGTCATGTCACTTTGTGCTGGGGTGTGGGGTGTGGGGTGTGGGTGGGGGCGCTCATGGCATCATCTCTTCCCTTCCTGCCATGCTTTTCTTACCCATCACGGAGGGTCTGTAGGTGTGATTGCTGCCTGTGTGGCTGAGGGACCCCTGGCTCGCTGCCGGGGGAGCTGCTGCATGGAGGGAGGGTGGGAATCGCAGCCCCCATCCCATGGGCCACTGGCTGCAGCAACAAGAGCGCCCAGGGGTCCTGGCTGCAGAGCGCACAGCAGGCAGAAAAGGCGTGGCTCCTGAAGAGAGGATGGAGGGAGGGACAGACAGGACAGAGATGCGGGAGACAGTCCAGAGGGGGAGGCAGCGGAACTGTGCTAGTGGGTTTTAAGGGCGATGGCGTAATAGTGCGGAGGGGATCCTGCGTTTTGAGGGGATGGTAGGGCGAGAACCCCTGGATTCTTTGGACATAAGACCCTGGGGGGTAGGGGAGGCCAGGGGATTGTCAAGGGCGGGGAAAAAAAGGACACATATGTAATATCCTTTGTAATACTTTAAGCAATAAAAAAATTAAAAAAAAATAATAAAAAGATTTAAAAAAAAATAAAAAATAAAATTTTTCTTCCGAGTGAGACCCTCTCTGGTCGGGAAGAAGCAAGAAGTTGCAGTTGGAGCCCAGGAGAGGCACTTCCAACGCTCAGGCAGATGGGGCTGGTTCAGTCCTGCAGTTTCTTCTGAGGGTTGGTCCTAGGACTTTGCTCATGGGAGGAGCGGAGGAGACAGGACAGGCTAAGCTTCTGGCAGGTTTTTCCATGGAAAACCCATGACACAATCTCAGTCTCTCTTTCGGGGTCTGAGATTGAGAACCGTTTTGTCACGAAGATATAGATGTGAAAGGTCAGAGGTGGTTCAGAGGACAAAGGAACTGCTTCCTGCAAACAAAACTGTATTAACTGCTTTCTAGACAGGGCCGCTCTCGGTGGCGTGCAGAGTGCGTCCTCCGGTGCTTCTGGCACCTTTGAAACAATCGGTCCTGCTGAGAAGTGCCTAGGTCCAGAGACAAGAAACCGCACAGGAAAAGCTGAAACTGGTTGACAGTGGCCACGCAAACGTCAGGACAAAATGATCAACCCAAACAGCAAGTTCCCAGGAAGCAGAAATAAAGTGGGGGTGGGGGTGGGGTGGGGTGGGGTGGGGCTGCCTGGGCCGCTGCCCCAGGGCACTGGAAGGGCAGAAGGGCACAATTAAAATTCGTTTGAACAATGACTATCACCATAAACCTATCCCTCTTCCTCAGAATACGTTAATATGAAGATAGTTATGAATGGTCCCAAAGCCAGTGGGGCAGGGACAGAACGAGCAGGGAAAGCCCGCATCTCTCGGGGATGATGTCCCAGTTGCCTGATAACTTGCCTGATAACCAAACTGACACGGGGCTTGCAGGGAGGTCAACCCACAACAGGGCCACGGGAGCAGACGATGAACAGACAAACCCCCAAGGAGCCCCACTATTTTAACAGTAATTATTAGGAGATACGGCACTCCTCCAGCTCTGTCCTCCAGCTCTGTCCAAGACCCTCAAGGTGGAGAAACTGCGAAGGGTCGGCCCCTGTATCCCTCAACAGCCAGCTGACTGCATCCTGTGCCTTTTATTTTGTTTCTAACTTCTAACTGTACTTATTTATTTATAAATAATTAATATCACCCGAGGATATTTTTTCATTGATTTTTAGAGAGAGTAGAAGAGACAGGGAAAGACAGAAACATTGATGTGAGAGAAACACATCGATTGGTTGCCTCCTGCACGTGACCCGACCAGGGCCCGGGTCAGGGAGGAGCCTGCCACCAAAGTACAAGTCCTTAACTGGAATCAAACCCGGGACCCATCAGTCTGCCAGCTGGTGCTCTATCCACTGACCCAAACCGGCTAGGGCTGATTTTAAAAGTTGTGATTAAATATCCATAAACTTTACTGTCCTAACCACTTGGAAGTGCATAGTTGAGTGGCATCTTGTGTATTCACCTTGCTGTGCAGCCCAGGGCCATTCAGGGCAGAGTGTCTTTGCCTGGAGGCAGCTGCAGCTGCCTATACAGAGGGCTGTGGATTCCCAAATAAGGGTGTTTATGTCCCCAATGTGGAGTATAACTCTAGAACATTTAGAAGTTTTGACCTCTGATACAGAGTATCTAGGAGTTTAGTCAAGGCCTATTTAGGAAAAATAAGAAAAAGAAAAAATGCCCCTGCCAAGAGAACAAACTACTTTCTGCCCAGATTGCAATGGGCACACATTTTTTAACAAAACAGCAAGTTAATCGTCCTGGTCTCCTGGTCACGTCCCCCCATTCCTGTTCCAAATTTTGTGTGGGTTTCGGAGTTGGGCTGAGAAGGTGAATGAAAGAGGAGGAAACTGGACAAGTTTCACTTCTCAGGTTTTCATGGCAGCTTCTTCGCAAGGCTGGACTGCTGGGTTCAGACACCAGGAGGGACACGGTCACAGTATAATCTGAGTCTCTGACTGCCAAGTGGTCTTCATCTTATTTTGCATTAAACCAGGCCCCTCCCCGAGGGCCCCTGGACCTGCTGGTTTGTGTTGGGCTAGAACAGACGTCCTCTCGGATGGTCTGTTTCAAGTTACAGAGATGACCCAACAGGGACTTGCGTGAGCTTTCGCCTGGGTCCCATGAGTAGAGACCCATTGATGCTACTATGACCTCAGAGAGGGAAGCCTTCCCAGAACCACCCCTTGAGACTGGACTTTAAGGTGGCTTCCATGGTCCCACCCCCCTTCCCAGGAAGGTGGAACTCTCCAAAGTAGAAGCAGAAGAAAGGGTGCCTTCCTGAGAGGATGAAAGAGGCCTGAGCGTGGACTTTGCAAGGGCTACTTTACATATGGAGTGAGCCACCCATGGGGTCGGCCTCGGCTTTTAATAAACACTCCACAACACGAGTCTTAGAATTCCCAGTCACGCAAATTCCAGTACCATAGTAGCCAGCATTTGAAACTTTGCCTAGATATTCTTAATCTCATTGTAATACCGTGTTCTCAAAGTTGTGCAATAGAATCCCCGGAGAGCTTGTTAGAACACAGATGCCTGGGTCCCACCCAAATTTTCTGACTCAGGAGGCCTAAGTGGGGGCCTGAGAATTTGCATTTATAACAAGTTGATGCTGCTGTTCTGTAGGTCACACTTCAATAGTCTAACACATGATTACATTCCAAGTCTAGATCCCACTACCTGACAATGACACAGGGTTTTTTAAAAAATATATTTTTATTGATTTCAGAGAGGAAGGGAGAGGGAGAGAGAGCTAGAAACATCAATGATGAAAGAGAATCATTGATTGGCTGCCTCCTGCACGCCCCCTACTGGGGATCGAGCCTGCAACCTGGGCATGTGCCCTTGATTGGAATTGAACTCGAGACCCTTCATTCCACAGACCAATGCTCTATCCACTGAGCCAAACCAGCTAGGGCTGACACAGGGTTTTTTGAAGCCTTGATACTCAAGATGCATGCAGATTTCAACTGTCATCATCTGAACCTGTCAACCTCCTGCTTGAAGAGCGTATGCTTAGCAACAAGTGTGTGACCTGTATATCACATCAGTTAGGTTATAGCAACCTGCCACTTTCTGTCTTGGAATATTTAGCGAACATGTGGACTTGCACAAGTGCCCCCAAACCTCTTGCCAAAGAAAGACCCCCAAGCTTGGTCCACCCAGGTGTACCTGGGAATTGAGAGCTAGGTTTTACTGAGTAGGCACAGGGTGGAGGTCAACCTCAAAGGGAGCGCATTTTGCCCACATTGGACATTGCTCCATAGCCCAGCCGGTCCCCGACTGCACCCCCAGCTGCATGCTCTTCTCCCACCCAGTTGAATCGGCTCTTTGTGAGGTGGGTGCTCGTCCCCCCTCCCTCCCAGGGCCATACCTGAGTGAAGTTGTCCAGGGCCTTGTGCAGGTTGGCATGCATGCCCGTGGGAGGCTCATTGGTGATTTTGATGGAGTTCTCCAGGATGCCCTGGGGGATGACGTGGCCCTCAGGGGAGGGCGCAGGCTCTGCACTGATGAAGACTCTGAACTCCGGGTGGCTGCTTGCACTGAGCTCCTCCAGCTTCTTCTCCAGGGTGCTGAGCCACTTGGCAACCAGGTGGATGTTCTGGTGGGAAGGATGGACCCCCCAAACATAGGCGTTTGCTTAGTTCTGTTAGAAGTAAACAGTTATAGGAAGGCAGCTAGAGGGGGACCTGACCTTAGTTTCAAATACATCACCTGCAGTATGAGTGTTGGCATTCCCAGTTCTGGGGGCCTCCTGGCATTCTGCAATGGAACCTTTGCCCTTGATATCCTGTCTCTCTAGCACAGTGTTCTCAAACTGGACTCAGCATCAGAATCCCCTGGAGGGATTGTTGAAACAAAGATTCTTGGACACTTCTCCTCCCTGCTTGCCCCTTTCCCCTGAGTTTCCGATTCAGTAGGTCTAGTGTGGGGCCCAAGGATTTGCATCTCTAATAAGTTCCCAGGTGATGCTGATGCTGCTGGTCAGGGCCACCCTTCAAGAGTCTAACACATGACTAAGTTACAAGTCCAGACCTGCTATCTGACTCCTGGATCACTGAACTCCTAATGCCCTAAAGCAGGGGTGGGAAGTGTCTGCCCGTGGGTTGTATAAGGCTCACAAAATCATTTGGTCTGGCCCTGCCAAGGCATTAGGGGGGAGTTAATTAAATGTTTAACCAAATATAACAGGATAATTTTTAAGTTGATAATTTTGTATGGCCTGAGAATCTTATATAATAAAAGGCTAATATGCAAATTGATTGAACCACGGAACGACCGGTCGCTATGATGTGCACTGACCACCAGGGGGCAGACACTCAATACGGGAGCTTCCCTCTGATGGTCAGTGTGCTCCCACAGTGGGAGCACCGCTCGCTCAGCCAGAAGCCTGGCTCATGGCTGGCAGACATCTCTTGAGGGGTCCCAGAATATGAGAGGCGCAAGCTGGGCTGAGGGACCCCCCTACCCAGTGCATGAATATCGTGCACTGGGCCTCTAGTGATGTTATAAATATCCAAATATCCCTTTGCAGAAAAATGGTTCCCCACTCCTGTTCTAAAGTGAGGCCCACGGACCATCAACATGGGCATTACCAAGGGGCTAGTTAGAAATGCAGATGCTGAGGCCCCACCCAGACTTACTGCATCAGCACATTTTAATAAGATTCTCCAGCAACCTGTATGTGTGATAAAATGTGAAAAGCAATGATTTAAACTCCTCCTAGCTAGCTTTCCTGACTCCTCCTTCTCTCCAAACCGCTCTGCTAATTGTTAGCAAACTCACCTTCCTACCTGTCACTGCTGCTCACAGAGGCTCCCTACTCCCAGCCTCTGTCATGTCTGTGTGCGCCTCGCCTCCTCCCATTGTGACTCCTATCTGTCTCTCTCTAAACCTACACTTATTTCTTAGTTCTACTTGCAGAATGCAGCACCCTTCACTTTAGTAGTAAAAACAGTGACTTTGCTTCATCGCTGGAGGTTTCACTATGATGGCTAATCCAAGCTCCTCACCAGGTATTCGGAGCCTGCTCACAGAGCCGCAGTGGACAGGGTGGCACTGAGCTCAGTACTTGGGCCACAGCAATCTGGTCTCTTGCTGCCTCTTCCAAAAAAAATGAACTAACAACAATATTTATTTCACGTATTTCACAGAGTTGCTACAAATAACCAAAGGTAATAGATTCGAAAGGTTGGTGACCTGAAAATATGTTCAATTAAAATTTCATTTGTACTCTCTCTTTTGGAGTGGAAACGTTAGCGGCTGCCCAGAGAGCAAGGGTTCTGTCAGCCAGGAAGAGCCAGCGACCAGGGAGTGTTCCTTCTTCAGGAGCTTTGACTTTGGAGTTTAACCTTTGCTCTCAGAAAGCACATCAGCACAAGATGTGGGGCCTGGGCAGCCGGTGGGTTCTGGGGAGGAAACTCCCTGTTCGTTGGCAGAGGGCTGGGTTCCCAGGGCACCAGGGCCGGGAAGGGTGTCTCTTTGGCACCAGGCTGACCCATGTGGGAGGGAGTAGCTGCTGGCATCTTTCCCCCTGGGAAGCCCACTGTTTCTAGGGAAAGAGTCCAGGGAATGGCTGGTCCCTCAGTTGCTAGGCTCTGGATCAATAACAGGATCTTTGAGGATGAAGACCCAGCAGGAAGATGCAGGGCAGTGAATGGTGAGGAGACGGGAAGTTCTTGGCAGGCGAAGCCAGGGCAGGATGAGAGTGCCTGGCTTTTTCATTTATTTTTTCTTTCATTGATTTCTTCATTGAGTGCTTTTGTTGAGTGTCTACTATGTTCACAGTAATGTGCTGGGGGCTAAAAGGTAAATAAGAAACATCTTTCTCTCAAGAAACATAGGGAAGACTACCTCAAACAGATTGTCAAACTACAGCGGGAAGGCTGGGGAGGGTTGGGGGGCAGAAGGGAGGGGGGTAAGAGATCAACCGAAGGACTTGTATGCATGCATATAAGCATAACCAATGGACATAAGACACTGGGGGGTAGGGGAGGCCAGGAGATTGTCAAGGGCGGGGGAAAAAAAAAAGGACACATATGTAATACCCTTTGTAATACTTTAAGCAATAAAAAAAAAAAAAAGAAATGTAGGGAAGGACATACCCATACATTGAATCATTGCAACGTAGCCAGGGGCGCTCTAACAGAGGCGGCTATAGGTTGTTACCGGAGAAAAAGAGCGAGGCCCTGGGGTGGCCCCAGCCCCAGCATCCATAGGAGCCGAATAACAAAGGAATAAGAGGCCAGGCCGTGAGAGGAGAGGGCGGCCTTTATTTCTTGTCAGCGTTTAGTGGAATTACTAGTAGTGGGTCCAGGTTTCCAAACCTTAAGTGAACTCTCAACGAGGAGGCTAAGTTCTAGTTACACATGTAATGTTCTGGTCATTCATGTAACAAAGAACGTAAAACACACAACACGACAGAAAAAGACATCAAGGAAGTTCCATGGAATGCACGGGAGGAGATCAGGAGCTACAAAAATCCCTGCATGGCCTTCAACCGAGTGCCAACTCCCCGAGCATGGAGGTGGGGACCGGCTTCCTTTTGTGAGCAGAGAAATTGTAACCAGACAGTGGCGACAGCAGGTGGAAACATGGAGAACAATTGTCAGAGAAAAATGACTGGGCATGGGGTAAGGAAGAGCACACACGAGAGAGAAGAATTGGAGAGGCGATTAGGAAGTGAGTGAAGGGGGCACGGGTGTGGAAGGAAAGGCGGGTGAGAGAAGAGAGGAAAGAGATGCCCAGAGACTGTGATGTGAGGTCCAGACGGGTAGGGGTTCAAGAAGGACCCTGATCAGGGGGCACGTACCTGCAAAATGACCCAGTGACCTTTCTTCGCAGCGAGATCCAGCGCGGCCTCAGCCACCACCTCCTGTCCTTGCCCCAAAGATACGTTGTGAAAGTTCCGATTGTTGAAGGTGTATCCGAGTTTTTTACCTAGAAGGAGTGTGGAGTTGTCATTACCATATCTGTGTCTGATGATCCATGCTGTGTCATGTTCACCTGGGAGCCACACCTCCACATCACTCCCCACACGCAGGTGTGCCTGGCCCCGGCCTCATAGGCTGATCCTTTCCTTCACTGAGGGCTATGCCGGGTGTTTCTCAGCATCATACAGTGGCTCTCAACCTTCCTAATGCCGAGACCCTTTAATACAGCTCCTCATGTTGTGGTGACCCCCAATCATAAAATTATTTTCGTTGCTACTTCATAACTGTAATTTTGCTACTGTTATGAATCGTAATGTAAATATCTGATATGCAGGATGTATTTTCAGGGATCACAACCCACAGGTTGAGAACCCCTGAAGGGTTCAGGAATCTGGAGAAGGGGTTGCGAGTAAATTAATAAAGAGACTAGACATGAAATATAAATTTGGAAGGCATTTTGGGGAGCCAGAGGAGACCTAGCTTCAGTAACCAAGTTCTCTCTGAACCTCTGGACCCCTAGCTTTTTTATTAACACAAATTGCCCTAAAGCAAAGCAGATATACATATCAAAGGTTAAGGTTTGGTATACAGTAGGCATTGTCAGGTTGGAGGGAACTGCCCTCGGCTGTCTGGCAGCAGGCAATCATATGTCTCTTCAGGTTTGAGGAAATGCCTACAGCTGTTCAGCTGTTTGGCCAGCAGCAGGTAATAACATGTAGATTTTCAGGTTTGGGGAAATGCTTTCAGCTATTCCAGCAGGCAATAATATGATTCAACCCTGCTGAATATAGAAGCCCATCAACCTTTTGAGGACTTGTTGCATTTTATTATGCCCTGCTGGAATCAGCTTCCAGCAGGGCTACGCCTACCAGCTTTCAGTTCCCAGGTAGAAGGAAGCACCGTCACCTAAATGTGTCACCCACCTCCTCACTGAATCCCCGAGAATGGATGGCAGTGCAGGTGCTTTTCTGCACAGCCTCCATTTGAAGGCCGTGGCCTTGGCTCACTGGCCTGGAGAGTGCTGATGTGAGAAGGCTCAAAGGGTAGCAAGCATGTGGGTGGCTCTAACTTGCTTTGTCCTCTGAATGTATATTTCCCTGGAGTTTTCCTGGGATGTGTGGCCAGCAGGGGCAGAATTCAGGTCGTTCTGGCTTACCATACTTTCCGCTGTGTAACTGCCTTCCCTACTAATCCCCACACATAGAAGTTTTATCTCCTCATTTTGCATGAGTTAAAGAGGTAAGACATGAAGGGGCTTCGCTGCATAGGTGGATGTTGTGGTGGATGTACCTGTTGGATGTTGCTGGTGTTAGGAGTGGAATAAGGGAACGGCCACATCAACACAAACATCACAACCACGTCACTGAGGCAAGGCCACGCTTTTGCAGTCCAAGAAAAACAACGTAAAGAAATGCCGTAATAGAATGGGCCAGTTTTACTTGGACATCAGTTATTAGCCTGACACTATAAAGTTTAGAGAAATTACATAATATATTTTAGGCAAAAAGATCATAAAAATGTATAATACCATGAATAAGTCATTAAGCAATTTTTCTAGGAAGGTAAAGTACACAAGAGGAAAGGCAGGAAATTTTTAAAAAGAAAAGTAATAAAATCTGCACTTAATCTGTTTTTGGTTTAGAGCCATGGTCGGCAAACTGCAGCTCGCGAGCCACATGCACTCTTTGGTCCCTTGAGTGTGGCTCTTCCTAAGCCTTAGGAGTACCCTAATTAAGTTAATAACAATGTACCTACCTATATAGTTTAAGTTTAAAAAATTTGGCTCTCAAAAGAAATTTCAATCGTTGTACTGTTGATATTTGGCTCTGTTGACTAATGAGTTTGCTGACCACTGGTTTAGAGGAATGAAAATTGAATATGCAATATATACTTGTGCTAGAAAATTTAAAGGAAACTGTCAATGTTGGACATTTCTTTTATATGCTAAAAAATATGTAGACTCTTCTTCAGCTGGATGAGGCAGAGCAGGATGAGGACTTTTTGTGGTGAGAAATAGTTATAGATTCAGCTCCGGTAAACCCAGGAAATACCCTTTTAGGCTGTAAGTCCTGGCTGGCAATGGATTTGATGTCAGCTTTAGGACCAGGGATACAAACAACCTGTTCAGAGAAAATACCAGGATGAAAGGTGCGTGGATTACGAGATAGCCTTGCTGACATTTCCACTTACAAAAGAGCCTATTTCTTTTCTTTATTAGAAAATGAAGGATATGGGAAAAGAGGGGCTTAAAAAAGATTAGTTTGAAAAGTACAGACCGGAGGGGCTGTTGGGGACAAAGCCCAGCACTGCCGAGGCCAGCTGGGGTCGGTTCGCATTACTCTAAGCTGGAGGCATGACATGAGGCTGAAGAGAAAGAAATGGATCTTGGAGATGATGAGGGGGGGGATTTGAAGGGATTTGGCCTGAACATTCAGCTAAATGTGACTGCAGCACACTCAAGCCTCGCGATGTGCCAAGGCAACCTTGCAGAGACCTTCCATCTGCAACTTTGAGGCTCTTGAAATACCTTTCCGGGCCATCAGCAAGCCCCTCTAGGGTTTCATGTTCTCTTGGGGTTTCACCTTCATATTGTTTTATGCTATGGCTTCCATGCCCTGACCTTCAGTGCCTTTAACTTCTCTCTCCCTTTAAATTTGTTTTATTAGACAATCTGTACTTTAAAAGGTATTCCCCCTGGTATTTCCAGTACCCATCTGGCACCATACATATTTATTACAATATTATTAACTATACTAGAGGCCTGTTGCATGAAAAGATTTGTGCAATAGGCCTTCCCTTACCTGGCTGCCAGCACTGGTTTTCCTCTGGCACCCGGGACCCAGGCCTTCACTCCAGCCGGAGCCGCCTTCAGTCTTTGCTCTGCTGCTTGGTGCCTACGTATGCAAATTAACTGCCATCTTTGTATCTCGCTGATTAGCCAATGGGAAGCGTAGCAAAGGTATGGTCAATTACCATGTTTGTCTATTATTAGCTACGACTAGACGCCCAGTGCATGAAATTCGTGCACGGGGGGAGGGGGGTGGAATCCCTCAGCCCAGCTTGTGCCCTCTCCAATCTGGGACCCCTCGGACATCCCTCTCGCAATCCTGGACTGCTGACTCCTAACCATTTGCCTGCCCGCCTGCCTGATCTCCCCTAACCCTTTTGCCTGCCTGATCACGCCTAACCACCTCTGCCTGCCTGATCACCCCTAACAACCTCTGCCTGCCTGTCTGATCATCCCTAACTGCTCCCCTGCTGGCCTGACCACCCTTAACTGCTCCCCTGCCAGCCTGACCACCCCTAACCGCCTCTGCCTTGGCCCCTACACCTGGGACCCAGGCTTCCCTCCTCTAGTTGGCCGTAGGCACCCAGGACCCAAGCTTCCATCCCTCTGGTCAGCCGCAGGCGCCTGGGACCATGGGCGGCTTCACCCAGGCCTGGCTTCTCCCGGGTTGGCTGCAGCCGCAGGCACCTGGGACCATGGGCAGCTTCATCCAGGCCTGGCTTTGTCAGGAAGGACATCCGGAAGGTCATCCGGAAGACGTCCGGTCTAATTAGCATATTACCTTTTTATTAGTATAGATTTCCTAAGCTGTACTTTACATCCCATGACTATTTGGTAACTATCAATCTATACTTCTTTTTTTTTTTTATAGCAAAGGTGGAGATTTATTGAAGAACAAGTACAGACTCCCACGTAGGGAGCAGGAAGAGTCCCACAGAACTGACTACCATGTAGGGAGGGGGAAGAGTCCTACAGAACTGACTCCCACGTAAGGAGGGGGAAAAGAGTCCCCTCAATCTATACTCCTTAATCCCTTTACCTTTTCACCCAGTCCCCCAACCTGCTTCCCCTCTGGGAAATCATTAGTTTTGTTGTCTGTGTCAATGAGTCTATTTCTGTTTTGTTTGTTAATCTTGTTCTTTAGATTCTACACATAAGTAAAACCATATGGTATTTGTCTTTCTCTGACTGCCTTATTTCACTGAGGATAATGCACTGTAGGTCCATCCATGCTGTCACAAATGGTAATATTTCTTTTTTTGTTGTTTTGTTTGTTTTTTGCTGAGTAATATTCTATTGTTATATGGACCAGAGCTTTTTTATCCACTCCTCTGTTGATGGGCACTTGGGTTACTTCCATGTCTTGGCTATTGTAAATAATGCTGTAATGAACATAGGGGTGTATATATTCTTTTGAATTAGTGTTTGGGTTTCCTCAGATATACACCTAGAAGAGAAATTGTTGGGTCATAAGACAGTTGCATTTTTAATTTTTTGAAGACCCTCCATAGTGGCTGCACTAATCTGTATTCCCACCAACAGTGCACAAGTGTTCCCTCTACTCCACATTCTCATCACCACTTATTGTTTGTTGATTTATTGATGGTAGCCATTCTGACCAGTGTGAGGTGATATCTCACTGTGGTTTTAATTTGCATTTCTCTGATGATTAGTGATATTGAGCATCTTTTTATATGTCTATTGACCATCTGTATGTTTTCTTTGGAGAAGTATCTATTCAGATTCTTTGCCCATTTTTAAAATTAGATTGTTTTTTGGTGTTAAGTTTTATAAGTTCTTTATAAATTTTGGATATTAAGCCTTATCACATGTATCATTAATAAACATATTCTCTCAGTCAGTGGGTTGTCTTTTCATTTTGTTAACGGTTTCCTTTGTGGTGCAAGTAAGGCCAGTTTGATGTAGTCCCATTTGTTCATTTTTTCTTTTGTTTCCCTTTCCCAAGAAGATATATCACAAAAAATATTATTAAGAAAAAGTCAGAGATATACTGTCTATGTTTTCTTTTAGGAGTTTTATGGTTTCAAGTCTTACATTTAAGTTTTTAATCCATTTTGAACTTATTCTTGTATATGGTGTAAGAAGATGGTCTAATTTTAATTTTTTGCATGTATCTGTCCAATTTTCCCAACACCATTTATTAAAAAGACTATCTTTATCCCACTGTATATTCTTGCCTCCTTTGTCACATATTAATT